AGGGTAAGTGGGAGTGACATTTTATTTCAGAGGATCATTGTCTAGCTAATTGCTATCTAAAAACATAAGACAGAAATCTATTGGTAAGGAACTAAGAATCTCCAGTTCCTGGGGTTTAGAAGGTGCTTTAGGAAGTTCTTTAGTGTAAATGTCCCAATTAACTATAGTATTGCTCCCACTGGCAACTTCACCTGGCTTACTATTGTTTTTTGGTCAAGAGATCATAATATATAGGTATTGGCTAATCTTTTACTGGCACACTGACTAGACAGGTTGAAAAAGGCTGTTCCGGGTTCAAATTGGACAGGCATATGGTGTCTGAGCCTGCTGCCTTGGCTAAGATCACTCAGACATTTGGTTTTGATTGTTCTAGGGGCAAATCTGTACTCCAAGAAGCAAGTAAAGCTAGCCAGCACCAGTATAACACTCTATTTTGCTCTGTACCTTTCGTAAGTTGTTTTTTGGCAAAACATTTCCCCATATATTTCAATTCACAAATTCTGCTTTTGTTACTTGTTAAAGTTGCCTGAAGACTAAACAACTGAGTTAAAAAAAAAGTGTTCTTTTTGTGTATTCTTTCTAAGTCCTGCTTTTACAGCTTTCTAGAAATCTTCTTACCTTTACTATTTCCCACACCTTCATCCTTTGTTCTTTTCATAATCTTTCTGGTGTCAGAAGCTCTATTACAGTGGACTTTAGCTTATGAACTATGTAAGCCTAATGAGGTATGTAAACCTACTGGCTGTAACCCAAGCTTTCTTATTCTGTTCTTGGAAAAGTTGAGAATGATCATCTATCTGAGAGAATGACTTTTTTTACAGATACTTTTTTTTTTTTGCAGGCATTATGTTTTTATTTGATTGTCTCAATTTCTTTGAAAGACAGCCTTTCAGCATAGGACAGGGGATGCAGATTTAGCAGAAAGGTTATTTCTTATTCCTTCTGTTTCTGGACTTGTAGAAAAGGTATCTCAATGCTGTCTTTGTGCCACATGGTGTGAGATGTCATGTATATGACCTTTGTCATGTTTTTGCTCTGAAGCTGTGAAGTGGCTCAAAGTAAGATAAAGGTATGGGATGCTGTTTGCTCCGTGGGACAAACACAAGCTTGCTATTTGAGGCAAGGCAGGAAATCCATGAAGAAATTCACCCTCTTTGCTGTCAGAAGAAGGTGAATAAACAGGGCTGATCTCAAAAGTCCACTTTGTTCAATCTGTGCTTTAGTTTAATTGGACTGCTTGGCTCACTTTCTACGCTTGCATTGGCAGCAGGCTGTACTGGGAAACTTAACGTCTAGTGGCTGTTGTGAGCTGGTGAAAATGATTCAGAATTAAATATGGGACTATTTGTTAGCTTCTGTATCACGTCTTGGCTGTAGGGGACCCTGGGATGGTGTCATGGTTTGACACTGGCCCAATGCCAGGCACCATGAGAGTTACTTTCTTGCCCTCCCCTGCCACAGGTGGGCAGAGGAGAAGGGAAAAAAGTTAACTAAGGCTTCATGGGTTTAGATAAGGACCAGAAGAAAACACTTCAAGGGCAAAACAGGCTCAACTTAAGGTTGCAAAGTGAAATTTATTACTAACAGAATCAGAGGAAGATAATGAGACATGAAATAAGCTCTTAAAACACCGTTTCCCCACAGCCCCTGCCTCCTTCCCACTGACAGTGCAGGGAGACAGGGCATGGAGATTTAGGTCAGTTCATAACCAAGATTTTTCTCCCACTGCTCTCGGAGAAGAGTCCTTCCCCCATGAGACTGTGGGGTCCCTCCCATGGGAGACAGTTCTCCATGAACTTCTCTGGTCTGGGTCCACTCTCACAAGCAGCAGCCTTCCACACCTGCTGTAATGTGACTCCCTGCAATGAGCAGACAGTCCTTCCAAAACTGCTGTGGTATGGGTGTTCTCTTTCCATGGGGTGCAGTCCTCCAGGAACAGGCTGCTCCAGCCTGGAAGCAGGTGCCGTCTCTCTCCACTGGGTCTTCCACTGGATCACAGCCTCCTCCAGGCATCCACCTGCTCCAGTGTGGACACCTCCCCCATGGGCTATGAGTGGATCTCTACATCCTCCATGGACTGCAGGGAGACAACCTGCTTCACCAAGGTCTTCACCATGGCCTGCAGAGGAATCTTGACTCCAGTGCCTGGAGCATATCTTCCACCTCCTTCTCCACTGACCATGGTGTTGCCATGTTGTTGTCCTTCACATGTTCTCACTTCCTCTTCTCTGACTAGGAGCAAAACCTGTGACTTTTCCAGCAGTTTCCCACAGGAGCCATCTTTCTGGTCCCCCTGCTACCAAAAACCAGGCTGTGCAAAATCGATACAGATGGTTTTGTCTAAAGACTTAATTTTTGAGAAAGTTGGCATCACAAGCTCTGTGATGACTCCAGTACTAGGTGCAGGAGCCAAAGGTGGTAATAGAAGGAATACAGTGTGTGTCAAAGGAGAGAGTTGTATGGCTTGAATTTTTACTGGAAAAGGGCAATGACATAGTACCTCGGATGCAATGAATTTGCTTATTAATTCAAATTTATGACTGGAGAGAAGATGGTTGTTTGTTGAGAAGCTATTGCGTCTACCTGCTGGCTTTCATACAAATGCAGGTAAATTTGACCAAATGGTTACTTGCACTTGCTTACGTAGAGATAACTTCTATGCAGTATTGTTTAGAATATCAAAATTGCTTAAAACTGAATAAATAGGTTAATAGAAGTTGTTTAGTTTATTGAAAATTGTTTCTTTTGTGACTGGTTATATTGTCAGGTGTAAAGGTTATGGCAGCATTGCCAGGCATTCCCAGGGAAGCAGGGGAACAAGAATCATGGGGAGAAATTAACAGAAGAATACTCTCAGGGTGGTCTGTCCTACTCACAACATATCAAGTGCTAGTTTCACTGAATCAATTGTAGTTACAATGCTAAATTTTTAACCAGGTATGGTTAAAAAACTCCATACAGAACCACTGTTTTTTATTGCCTTGCATCTTCTCTACTGTTGTTAGTTGTCAGGAAATGAAAATCATACCCAGTTTTGTGAGATTTTCTGTCTAATTGTCCATTCTGGGATATGCCAGATGGCATTTGCTGTCTTGGAAGGTTAGTCAAATTTTTTGCCATTATCCCTCCAGTATGTAGCAAGCAGCAGTGTTTGTTTGTTTTCATTTAGATGGAGATGATTTACCTTTTTGAATGGTCTGACCTGTGCTGCTGGATCCTCTTTGGGGAAACTTGTATTCTAATGGTTTAGTGACACAGCATGCATACAGTAAATATATATCACACTAATGAGTTTTTTTTGGCTAGTGATTTGCATTATGTTATTGTTCATATGCTTATTTACTGCATTCTGCTTGGATTTATTCTAGTTTATCTGGCACAACAGTGTGAAATAGAGAATGATTTTATCACTAACTTTCTTACCAGAGGAAGCTGGTTTAAGTGTCTGATTGTTCAGGATACATGACAGTTTAGTCATCAAATTTTTAGAAAATCACAGAAATACTTCTTAAGCATTGGATACAGCTGTCACCAACAGAAAGGTGTGGTACCAAGGAAGTGTAGAGTCGTGCTTCTAATTGCATTCTATTTACAAAACCAAAACAAAATACACCAAAAGCTATGTCTTGAATTTCAGGTATAGTTATTTACTTGTTTTGCCACCCATGGTATATTATCTAAAGCCTTTAAAATTCTAAGAAGGGATTGGGTAAAAAGAGGCTGAAAATACCATGAAGTTTCGTCCTCTTCTGTTGTCTAAGTAAAGACAGAAACTAGTGAAACTTGGACCAAACACATACATGAGGTGCACCTTATGCCATCAGTTGTGCTTTAAAATTTTCCAGAGCAGTTCACTTTGAGAAATTTTGAAAGAAAATGTACCACTTTCATGCTTACATGTTTTCTAGCTATTCCCAGATTTTGATACACAGCATCATTTTATGGAAAATTCTAAGGCATCTTCCATTCAAACTCAGTTTATTTGCTTTGGAAATATTTACTGTGTGTAGCCCAAATAGATAGGGTTTATCAATTTTTTCAGCATTAACTCTTAATAAATAAGATTTTATGTACATATGTCTGTATATTAAGCATGAATTCAGGGCTGGGAGAGGAAGGGAGTACTCTTTCTCTTATTGATTTACTGATGCATGATACTAAATTGAACTTCTGGTTTTCCGTATCAAAATATATCCATATCTAAGTGCTAAATTAAAAAATATACAAAATGCATGCATTAAAAATATATAAAATAAAATATATACACGCTAAAAATATATATAGACATAGCTAAATGTAAATTGAATAATAGAATTTATTTTTGTTTACTGTTTTTATGGTAGTAGCTGTCTTTTTGTAGGGTTTTTTTTCTTTTTAAACCTGTCCTGGAAGGAAGGGATAGTTCCCCCTCCAGATGTCTCTTTCTGTTTGTTGCATGTATAACAGATTGGGTGACAATCACACTGGAGCTTAAATCTAAGACAACTACAATTAGGTGAGACAAATTGTATTACCATGGTTTATATGGGAGTATATTTTTACACTTTTTCATTCATACTTACTATTACTAAACAAATGGAACTACAAAAGTAAACTACTACACATTCTTAGGAATAGATTCTCAGGAGTCTGATACAGGAGTATATATTTCAATATTATCATAAGAAAATCAGTAGAGAGGAACTTCTTTTGCAGATTCATAAAAAAATTCAAGTTACATTTTCTCAAAGCCCACTATGCTTTCTCTAATCTTAATGCCAAGAAGAGCACTAAAAATGTCACAAAAGAGTTTTCTGGCAGTAGTGAGTTGGAAGAGGCTCTTAAAGACAAAACTTGGGCATAACCACAGTGTTTGCATTCAAAACATAGGGCAATGATCCTCTTTATCCTCTTGTTGTTATAGTCTTTCAAATCATAAATGAGTAAACAAGGCAGAAACATTGACATCAGTGACAGCAAGTTAAGGTTCTGGACTGATTTTTCTGCTTTCTTTGTTCCAGAATTCCAGCAGTGTTTTGAAGAACTCGTCTTTCAGTTGTGACAAAGTATCACGGCAAGTATTTCTTTCAAATTTATGTAGCAGCATCATGTGGTACAGCAGTGGGCTTAGGCTTTGTTGTTTGTGGTTGTGATTTCTGTGAGTTCAGTCTTCTGGAAGATATGATCTGCTATGCAAGTTCCATTTTTACAAATGTCTTTGTGAGACTAGATGTATTCACTGAGCTGATCTTCTGGTATTTTATTGAGAAGGACAAAGTTATGGAAAAGTTCCATCACCTGGAAAAGAAAGACAAGTATTTGTAGACTAACCAGTGAAATTAATTTAATTACAGTGATGTCTGTTGTACTTTGGGGACTGGTTTTAGATTCACTTCAGTTTTACTCAGAGCATGCTTCAAGATCTGCAGTGTTTTACAGATTGCTGGTCAAGCTTCCAATTTGTAAAGCATTTGCAGAATTCTACAGAGAGATGTGTACAGACAGAAGTACCTATACATTTCTATTTGACTCACAAATTTGTTGTGCTAGTATTTGTCAAATTGCTTGTATTAATTTTCCACATTACTGTTTGCATAGGTTTTTTCCCTACTGTTTTGTTGTGAAGAATTCTGGTGAAGAACTCCATTTGTGTTCTGAACGGAATACTTTGAGCTCTGTAGGCATTTAACGAGTTGCAATTGTAATGAAATTCTTGAAAATATCTGGTGCTTGGCTGTAGGAGTCTAAGTTGCAATTTCTCCTCATTAATATGCCGTGTTTCTGCTTGGCTGCATTGCTCTAAATTGCCACATCTAATTTCTTCCCAGCAGTGCAGACTTTGATCACATTATGGAGGAAGGCTCTGAACTTGACCTCACTTACATCACAGAGCGGATTATTGCTGTGTCCTTCCCTGCTGGCTGTTCTGAGGAAACTTACTTCCACAATCTACAAGAAGTAACACAAATGCTCAAATCCAAACATGGTGATAATTACTTGGTATGTGTAAGATCAGCCGTTTGTGACACACCTTCCTTTGTCATGCAGGAAGACTACTTTATGTCCACATAAACCTTTATAAACTAAAAGTCACTCTTTGGGCCATCTTTACAGCCTTGTAAGAAAGTTCAGGATTTTCAATAGCATTTTAAGCTGCTACATATTGAGAACACTTTTTTTTGCTGGGGCAGTACAGTCTCTGTGATGATGTGGTGATAACACGTAGTCAAATTCTGAAGAATAATTTCACTGACCATTTTTATTATCCAAAGCATGCTTTTAAAAGATACACACCCTGCAATGAGGAATGTGTTCTTCATTTGTAGCAGTGACCTACATCTGGGTCCTCAGGTGGGTGTCTGATAGTCTCTCACTGTCATGTCTTCAATTGTGAAGGCAACATTGAAAAGTAGGGTTGCTGTTGATGTGTTCTGTCCAGCTCTTCCCCATTAATATGTTTTAAGTGTATTTTTCATGCCATTTAATTTTCTGTAAGAAATCAAACAAACGTATAGTGAACTCCGTGTGCAGATTTATTTTTTTTTTTCAACGTTGATAAAAAGCTGTTAATCTCCTGTGCTGTTTACTGGCTACTGCCCTGGCATGTATTGTCTCAGCTTGTTTTATGACGTTGAATTTAAAACAAGGCCAGTATTTAATTTTTTTTTTTTCTTGTACTGTCTCTTTAGGTATTGTGTGTAAACTGTTAGAATTAAATCCATGACTTCAGGAACATGAACTTTACTCACAGTAGAAATTAGTTACTGGAGAGATTCCACTAATTATTTAAACATATTATGTTCTTCTCACAAACTGAGATGTCATAGGTGCGTTATGAACCACACCACATTTGTGATGTGGACTGATGTCCTCAGCATGCTGCCTTGCTGCCTTTGGCTTCCCTTCCATCAGGCACTGGTAGCTTATAAGGCACACGATAGTAATAGTTTGAAGGTGACCTGTGTGTAAAGCGTTATAGGTTCAAATTCACCTTTTCTCTGGCCATTTCTATGTAATAACAGTGTAAGTTTGTAGTATCTCCACTACACCTAATCTCACTTAATACTTTATTATATTACAAATATCTTATATATGGTAAGTCTGGTTTAGTGTCTCAGAAGGATTGTAGTCTCTGCCTCTGAGAGGAGTTAGTTACTCTTGCAAAGTAAAAGTACTCTTGCAAAGAGACTTTTTTTTTTTTGTTTTGGTTCTATTCTATTTATAAATTTATTTTCTAATGGGTACTTTGGAAATTAGCTGCCTTGATAAAAAGGAAGTTTGATGACATCTGTTCCAAATGTGTCTCTGCAGATTTGCAAAATAATCTGACAAAGCACTGCCAGGTTGTAGATTCAGAGAGCTTGTTTTTGAACTACCTTCTGTTTCTCATATTTTGAATACCTCTTCAGCCTGCTCAAGAGGTGCATGTGAATTATCAAAGAAAAAAACCCCAAAACCTCCACAAAATAGTATTCAAGTCAGCAGTCCTGCTGAAGTTTATAGGAACAATTCTACTCTTCTATTGGGTCAGGGTCTCAGATAACAGAACATATACTACAGATTAGCATTTGTAATTGTTTTCTAGTTGTTTTCCTTTCACTACAGTGAAAGGAGTGAATGGGTTAACAGAAGAGTTTGAAGATCTCATAGGCTAAGTTATAATTAAATAGGTATGTCATATCTTCCCTGCAAAGTTTTGACAGACTAATACTTTCTTGTCAGGCACACAAATTCAAATATTTAACAGTGTACCACTCCCAGACTTCTCATTGTTAATTCTGAGAAGGTCTGCATTATATTTCATGGTAGCCAGGTCTCTCAGTATACCTCTGACTCAAAGCCATGTGAAATAAATAAGGTGTAGTAGAATTTAAATTGTCCTTTTTTCAAAATGCGCATTTAAGTTTAGCTTTAGTTTTAGTGTAAATAACTGAATATCTAAAATACATTTGCTAGTGCTACCTAATGTCAAATGTTAATTTAGTTTAGTAGAACAGAGGGCAAACCTGAAACTATATCATTGTAGTTTCTGGTAATTTTTATGTTTCAAATACATCTATTTACTGCATACATTACAGAGTCTTGATGGTTAATATTTTTTTCCTTCTTTCTGAACAGGTATTAAACCTCTCTGAAAAGAGGTATGACCTTGCCAAGCTTAACCCAAAGGTATCAACTGTCTTCCATAACATAGCTTTCTAGTATTAAATACAACTTAAATGGCCTGATAATCCCCGAAGATATGCAAGTGTTTATATACAGAGTAAGAGAAGAAGTTTTGGAAGATACTAAAACACCCCACATGCATTCTTTTTTATTTTTTCTCAAGTTCTGTTTTGTGTCTGTTAGATCTGTGCTTTACATAGCTATTCCTGTTGTTTTCTTATACTTTATATATAGGACCATAAACCTGTTGTAACTTCTGAAAAACATTAGTTGGATGACACAAATTTTACTTAAAGTATACTTTTTTGTGCAGTCACAGGATACTGGGGTTGTATACTGTAATGTACAGTCAGCTGAAGCTAGTGAACTTGATTCAAATAAGGACTTCTGTACTATCTTTGAGTAGGTGCTTCTCTGCACAATAGAGACATAAAAAAATTCAGAATGATTGATGTCTGACTTGTTCCTTCTCACCAATTGATGTATTTGTTTGTTGTAAGAAGTGGTGTGCCAGTACACTTCAGCACTTCAGCATCTGTTATAAGGCCAGAGAGAGTGGCACAGATGTGTATTTACAGCAGTAGATTTACAGAGAAAAGCTTAACTGAGGAAAGTACTAAAACCCCTCTTAATTTTAACTTTTTGCATGCTTTATCGATCATGAATGATGGATTTTTTAATATTAGACATATGTTGAATTCATAATGTGTATGTATTGCATATGTTTTGTTAGTAAATATGCATATAATAAAATAGGCTTAGTAAACTGTATTATATAGTGAATAGAAAATCTGAAAAAAAATTTTATATGCTGTAATCATGTAGCACATGAAGGAATTAAATTGAAAGTAAAATGAGAGCCATCAAAATCATTATTTGCTCTAATTCTAATGGAATTTACTGGTATAAAATACCAGAAATTCTAAATGAAAAATCATGTAAGAAATCAAGACCTTCAGAAATGTTTTCACTTCTAAGTGGTTGGTGAAATTGGGATGGGTGAGGAGGAGGAAGTTTTTTGTTTATTTTTTTTAAAAGTACTAGTATCTTAAAAACCCACAAATTCCTTCTTCCTCTGTAAGCATCATGACAATTGAATTGCATGATTATCTGAAATGGGAAAGGTTGTGGAGACTTTCAAGCATCACATTTATTTGAATCCAGATTTTAGTCTGTGATACTAAGGTCAAGGTGTTTCTCGTAAATGTTACTTATTTAATTGCAGATTATGGATGTGGGGTGGCCTGATCTCTATGCTCCACTTCTTGATAAAGTGTGCACCATCTGCAAGGCCATGGAGTCCTGGCTGGACAATGATCCTCAACATGTGGTGGTGATCCACTGCAGAGTAAGTGCTGTGGACAAGTTTGTATTCATTTTCAAAAACCTTGTCCTTTACTCTTCTTATTAAAAAAAACCCCAAAAAATGTTAGATCAGTTTTCAGTGTTAGCAACAGTGTGTCAGATGTTCTGTTGATGTAAATAAGCTTAAATCCATTGATCTTCCATGCTTGTTAAAGATTTCTTTTTTATGACTTAAGTCCTAACCCTTGCTGCGGGTATAGCATGAACCGATGTTACTTCATCCTTCAAAGGTCATTGTTACTTTGTAAATGTATTTAGAAGCTTGAGGTTTTTCCAGCTTGATGGAAAACTCTCCATGTCCTGTGACACTCATGAATTTTGTTGCTGGAAAAAGATAGGCACTGTATCACAGATCATCTCTTTAGACTGTATGGTTGTAGGAAATCAGGTCATTAAGGACCTTCGGGATACATTTCAAAGGTTTTAATAGACAGCATCATTGCATTGCATTAGAGCTAAGCTAGCAGTGTGCTGTGTTGCTTCCTCCTGCTTGCTCACAATAAACAGAAATAAAGAAATACCTTAGTTAAATTTGGATAAAATTAATTCGGAACTGGGTTGGTAGCTGTGCTCGTGACACTTGATGCAATCTTGATATCTGTGTATCACTGGCACCTCTTACTCTCAACAAAATTATGGTGATAATGGGTTGAAAACTTCAAATCATGTTGTGTAGTCTCCAGTCCCAAATTTCTTCCAGGCAGAATGTCATTGTATGAAACACTTGAAATCTTACTAGTTGCAGGAGTGCTTCCAGGAAAATGGCCCATGTGTGGGACAAAAGGGAACAAAGTATTTCTAGGTACACAATCATATACAAATTGATAATTCATGTTTTTGATTAATACGTTTTGCTAATATAGGTTTCTAGCCACAGAGATAGATACAGACAACTACTATCAGCTGAGAGACTGAAAATATTTTGAAATCTGTGAGAATTACTGCTTGTTAAATTTTACTGCATTTGTCATGTAAACTATTTAAAAATACTTTAGAACATTTAAAAAATTATCCATAGAAAATCAGTTACTGTACATCTCAGGTGCTGGGGAGGTAAAAATGTGAAAACATGCTAGAAAAGGCCTACTCTTTCTAAAATAAGTATTTTATAGCATTTCATCCTGGGAATTGCAGCATTGTCTAGACTTGCTGTGCATGATCTCTGGGAAAAAAAATACAAAATTAGTGTTGTTCATACAATTTTTTTTCTTTTTTTCCAGTTGATTCCTCTTAATTGGTAAGATTTAACAGGCATGCATGTAGAAATCCTACTTAGTGGGTTTTTTATGTCATTTGTCAGCCAGCTTACATTGACAGATAAGCTGCTGCCCATTATTTCCACCATTCCAGGGTGCATGAGCAACAAGACCCTCAATATCTTGCCTTGAAATTGTGTTTAGTATGATTCTTAAATATAATAATGCCCAATAATGTAATACGTAATACAAGTTATGATTCCCTTTTTCCTAATACAGGGAGGAAAAGGAAGGATAGGTGTAGTCATATCATCATATATGCACTTTATCAATGTTTCTGCAAGGTAAGTGTGAATAATGCATGTTGTGTGTTTTTTTACAATAAACATTGGGAAAAATGCCTTTTAGTTGATTACTGTCTGTCAGCTTACTCTTTGTCAGGCTTTCTTCTTGAAGAGTTTTGGAGCATGTCTTTCTTAACAGAATCTGCTTTCATGATAGTTTTCTTGTAATCCTGCTTGCAGTAGGAGACTGGATTAGGTGACAGCCTAAGGTCACTTTGGAACTGAGATTTTTATTGGTTTGCAGAAAACTTTTCTGAAGGATGTTTTCAGATGAATGATAGAATGTACAATAAACTATTTTTATGTCATGGTACTATCTTTATTCTGTTAAACCTTTCTGTTTGCCACTTCCATCAAGTGGCCTCTTGAATTGGTGAGAAATTATTACTTAAGTACTTAAGAAAAGCTGTTATTAAAATCTGGAAAGAGTGTTTGAATAGGGAATTCCTAGACATTGATCTAAGTGCAGAACGGAGTGTAAGGAATAATCTAGACTTTAGTTTGCAGTCAGTTCAAACAGTAGGTATCCGATTACTTAGTTTTAATAGTTTCTTTTGGAGTCCTCAAATTATGAAATGACAATTGACAATTTATATCAAAAAGATACTATTTGAGAAATGGTCTCAAAAAGGATGAAATGCATTTTGGAGATTTTTATTGGGATTCTAATCATATTGTTTTCCCTTGGGGTTTTTAAATTTATACACATACATAAATGTATGTATATACATTTTATGTACATAAATGAATGTGTTAAAATAAGGATACACTCTAAATGTCATGGTTAAATCAAATTTGGTTCTGAATTCACAACAGCATGGCAATAATAGTTTTGATCCACTACTGTAGTTGATGGAGTCTTTAACTGCTAGAGGTTGATGGCAGATTATTCATGGATGTCAGGCAAATTAGAATCCAGGAAAATAATCTGTGTTCATTGGGGTAAACCAAATTTATAAGTAATTAGGGACCCAGAAACGAAGTGCATTGTGTACACTGATATGTGCTGAAAAAACCACGTGCTTCAATGATTGCCACAATTTGATATTTTATTGAGAAGTATTGTGAATGACAAGAACTGTCAAGTGAGTGTAGTACAGTTGTTGTGGTGTGATTTCAGTGTTGCCATATTATGTCATCCTTAAAGGTGGTACATTGCTATAAATATATTATAATAACATAATTACAGTCACATTCAGGTGGTGTTTTGTTAAACCCAGCAATGAAAGGTACCACCTTTTACCCCAAACAAATTTAGCATTCCTCCAGTGAAGTTGCAGGAGAGAAGTGAGCTTGGAAGCCCTCTTTAACTTTCTGGATATCTGGCAGCTGCTATCCAAAGCTTAACTTTTCTGGGTAAGGATGAAGCTGGGGGTTTCCCAGCTAGGATTTGTATATCCCTACCATTATCAAGACTCTTGAAAATGGTACACAGCAACTTTGCAGAAACAGAAATTACTGCAGATGCTGCTGTTAAGGGTGCCATCTACTGTGTCTGAATTGGTACTTAGAAGATGATGCTTATCTTTTCAAACCAGGTCTCATAAGCTCTCACAGAAAAGTACCACACAAGATAGCTCAGCTATCTATAAAAGCAGTAGGATGGCTTCTGCAACAGTGTTGCAAACAGAAAGGTTTTAATAAAAGGTAAAATAACAAAGCTTTTTACAGAGAACAACCAAGCCAGGGCAAGAGGTTCTTGCGCCTGCTAAAACACTTCACAAAAGTGATTACTTCTTTTGTTCTCTTCTTTTTCTAGTGAATTGCTGAGGCGGGACTTTTTAGCTTCTGTCCAGTTAACTGTCCTTAAGTTTGAGATGAAGTCCCCAAGGTCCTATGAGGTGTCTTTTAACCAAATTGAGGAAAGAAGTTTCTAGGCTTTTTTCCTTTTTAAGGAGACAAAGAGTAATTTGTTCACTCTGTCAACAGGGGACATATTTGTACAAGAAGACCTTGAAGATGTTGGCACTAAAGAAAGTTCATACTTGTCAGCGTGCATAGATGTCCTGATTCTGGCCAGGACAGGGTTAATTTTTTTAGTATGCTTGAGGGAGCATGGCTAGTACCCAGAGGTTATTCTATAACACCTCATGTCATTGCCAGGTGTGGGGGGAAGGGGATCCTTCAAGGGAGAAGGGGTCCCTTTGGGTGGAGAATATGTGGCAGACGGAGCCATCCAGCATTGTCTATTGTTGGGGATTTTCACAGTGAGCAATAAGTTTTCCTTTCTTCTACCCTCTGTCATTAGTATTGTTGTTACAATTAATTTTCTTCTCTCATTCCTATGTCCAGTAAATTGTTCTTATTCAAAGATCAAAACCTCTAATCTTTGCCTTGTGGCTCCAATTCTCCTCTCCATCCCACTGCAGGGAAGGGGAGAGGAGGGAGGGAACAAGCAGCAGTGTGGTTTGGAGAGCATCAGTAGGATTACTAAATTAGGGAATTCCCTTCCTAAACCATGACAACATGCCAAAAAGATCTAGGCTTAGTGAAATCCTGTGAATTTATGCTTAGCACCTCTGCTGTAAAGACAGGCTAAGAATTCATGTTGGGGTTGTTCAGTCTGAAAGAAGAGTAGGCTCCAAGGAGACTTTCTGGTGGTCCTCCAGGACCTAACAGAAGCCTATAAGATGAGTGGAGTGGGACGTTTTCAAGGTAAGGCAGTGATAGGACAAGGGGGCAATGGCTATAGACTTAAGGAGGGTAGATTTAGATTAGATATTAAATATAAAGAACAAATTCTCTACTGTTAGCGTGATGAGACACTGGAACAGGTTGTCCAGAGAAGTTGTGGATGCTGCATTTCTGGAAGTGCTCAAGGCCAGGTTGGATGGGGCTTTGAGTAACCTGGTCTGGTGAAAAGTGTCCTGTCCATGGCAAGAGAGTTGGAAAATGATGATCTTTAAGGTTTTTTCCAGGGTAAACAATTCTGTGATTCTATGAAAAATCTTTATTGAAGCAGCCCCCCTTTAGTTATATGATGTAATATTAAATTTTCTCATTTAGGAAGGAGCAGTGTGTCATCAAATTTAATGAGGTCAAACAGAGTTCTTTGCAATTGTGGGTAAACTCTGTTTTAACAAGTGAAATGCTAGCAGTTTTTGGCTATTATGTAGAGACAGGCTGCCTAAATTCTGGATGGCAGCGTGGATGAAGATGAATGAAAATACAAAATGGATTGGGTTGAGAAAGAGGTTTTGGGTCAAGAATATTTTAAGTACACACTATGTAATTTTTAACACCCATTAAGAAAATGCTTGACTTTCTAGCCCGATCCAGCACCCTGTCAAGACAATTGACATCTTCTGATTAATTTTTGGAAAAGGCATGAATTTCATTTTTATCCTGATATGCATGTGTGTACTTGGCACAGTTTTTTTTTCCTCTGAACTCATTTAGGTTGAACTAGTTGGGGAAATTAAAAGTTGAGATTTTGGTGTGTTCTTATATTTTGGATGAGCCCCCAATTGAAATGAACAGGGCTTATGCCTTTATTAATGTTCAGCTCTTTATTAAAAAGATCAACTGGGCAGGGGGCTTGACACATAGCTCATCCCCGCTGTTGTAGTTTTTTCCAGGTAGCCGAAGGGGGAGAAGGCGTGCAGAGTCTGTCCCTGAAGTCTCCGTGGCATGCTGGTAGCCAAAGGGTGAGGGGATGTGCAGAGCCTGTTGCTGAAGTTCAGCAGCAGCTGTCCTCTGTCCTTTACTCCTGGTAACACCAGGAAGAGCTGCTTCTCTGTTACTGCTTCCTATAGCCCGGTCCAGTCCAGTCCTCTGGAGGCTATGGTGACAGGTCAAACATAGACTAGGGATGTGGTTCCCTTTTCCCCAACCAGCTCACCCATCCAGTCTCCTCCACTGTGCCCAGCCTTCCATTTAGGGGTGTTTTCATCCCCAAAACCCCCTCTCATGATTCCACTGGTCCCTCTATTTTGCATCCCAGTCCTAGAATGGCAGTGTGGGTGGGGGGTGTAGGTGATCCCCAGGAGCAATAAGCTAATTAACATTTCAATATCAGGACTTAGGTCAAGCCAGCAGTGTCCCAGTATTGCCATGGGAACCAGGAAGGCTCTTTTGTTCATAACAATGCAGATCTTTTATGTTCTGATGCAAATTAAAACCGTGAACTCTATTTGTTATGAAACACATTGTTTTTTTTCTATCTGGAATAGATATAAAAGAATCACAATATAAAAGAATTGCATATTACTTGGCATACGCGATGAGCAGCATTCTTACTGATTTTTTTCACTTCTTTTTTTTCTGTAGCCTCTTGTCTTCCTTCACCCAAAATAGACCCACATAAGAACCACTCTGGATAAAGAATAGAATAAAATATATTTTTTGGAATATGTTGCTCCTTGATCGTGTGTTTGATGTTTTATGGCTTTCTGATGTAAAATAGTTCCTTTTCAAAGACAGTCTCTTCCTTGATGGCTCAGGGTACAGCAAGCAAAGGCTGAATGAATTACTGACTGCATAAATTAACCTCTATCCTGGTACTAAAGTTCTTTCTGAAAAAGAAAATAAATTTGTATATTATAGAGAGAATTCCCAGTGGCACGTGCAAGAAATTATGGCAAGTATCCTTCTTTGGGAGTGTAAGCGATTTGGTTCTGCTAAAGTTTTTTGCATTATGATTTCTATGTATTCGTGCTGGAAGTATGCAATTCAGTTTATTAAATAAGGAAGTAGGTGCTTTGCTCAGGAAGGAAACTGTCTTGAGGTGTTGAATGAGAAGGTGTCAGTGGAATAAACATCATTGTCCACAATGTCCAAATTACTAGAGTTGCTAGTTAGGTGCTTGTTTTTTTATTTTTCTTTACTTCCCTCCTTTTTCCTTCCAAATATTTTTGCATGCTTCAAGCAGTAGCCTGCTGAATTTTTGAGATAACACTGAAGCAGAATAACATGTGTCTCTTTCTTGACAGTGCTGATCAGGCTCTAGACAGATTTGCTATGAAGAAATTCTTTGATGATAAAGTTTCAGCTTTAATGCAGCCATCCCAAAGAAGGTATTCAATTTGTTTCTAATTTATATCAATAGGAAATGTCATAATTATCTTCTGCTCCCATCCCTTAATCCCTTCCCAGGTATGTGAAGGCTATTTCTACAAGACCCTCCAGTGCTTCCTGAATTCTCAGTACTTTATCTTATATTATTATTACTTGATTGATGACATCTCTCCTTCAGTTCCTGCATGTGGTCCCAGACAGAAAAGACCTTTTGTACCACGCTGTTATTTAAATGGGTTCTCACTGCATTGTTTATTAACAAAGAGATGTCACAAGCTTGATTGTTCCAAGATAACAATAAACTAATTTTTCTGTGGTGTAATGATGAGTATGGGAAGTTTGCTGATTAATGTGCAATAAAGATCTTTTTACGACTTGTTTAGAGGATCGGCAGATTATGCACTTGCCCCATGTCCATTCTAGTAAATGTTTGTCAGAGCATGCAATATTCATTATGTTTATCTGGATGTGTTACCTTTTTAGTTTGTCTGTGTGACAAAGGTTGAATTAGAATTCAAAGTAATAATCACTTTGGAGAGTGAATAGTTCTGGGATTCACTTTGTACCTTGTTTTTATGACAGGTAATTGAAGGATTCAGTACCAAAAGAGACTGATATTCATCAGACAAGTAATTGTGATATAGGTGAATCTCTTTTAGTAATATAAAATATCATCTAGGTTTGATTTGGTAATTACTGTTTGGGTTTTTTTTTTTTTTGGTCTTAAACCATGTGTATGCAGTAGGTTGTTTAGAAGTGGTTTAAAGTATAGGAATTTGCTAGTAATTAAAACAGAAAAATCATTAGTAACAACTAGCGTAAGGTGTTTGGTTCTGTTAATCTCTAAATAAAAACTTACTATTTACTTTTTGAATCCATTAGGTGACATGCACATCTCCTTTTAACTTGAAAAATAATAACATAACATTCTGTTCAACTTGAAATAAATTTTTCATTAGTAGAAGTTGACTGGTCTTTTTTTGTTTCAATTTTGTGCTTGCATTTGTGTACTGCATTTCAGCAATAAGGATTTGAGAATGCTGCCTACCAGACAGAGAAGTGTGAACCATAACAGCAAAAGGAAAGAGATATTGTTTATCTTCCCATATAGAAGCTCTAGACAGCAGGCATATTTCGGTGAGAGCCAGGAACCTCCACAAAAACCTGTGAATTGTGCATCAGGGCAGTTTTCCAACCATGTTTAAGGAAGCCTCAGTAACTACTAACTTAAGTGAACTGTATGTGAGCCCTAAAGCTAGATGCTAGGTATAAATGGTTGCATCTATCTTTCCTACAACCCCTTCAAGGACACTTGATTAATTCTTTTGGGGGTAACTCTGGAGGGGCAGGGAGATACTCAGTTTGCTTCTTGACTGATGGAGTCAACATCTTTGCTCACCAGTACTGAACTTGAGCTGCCTATACCATCTTCCAAACATACACACATACTTTGGAGTGTGATTTCTCATGAGAACAGGGGTAGTTTTCCAAATTGTTTGTCACAACTGTTTTCCCAAATTTCACCTCTCCTACTTTGCCTGGCCTGGCAGTGGCCACTAATCTTATTGCAGAGAAAGGAAAACCAACTCTTAATATCTGTGGATATACTCCTTTGTTCCCATTCTGATCAGTCAGTGGCCTTTTAATATGCTTTTTCTCTGAAACCATTGCTGGGTTTAATTAATTAGTGATATCCTTCTTAAAACCCAGTTGATGTATAAATGGCTATAATTTAAATGGAACTTAAAATTGTAAAATATGAAAATACACCCATTTTTCACATTTTGAAACCTTTTCTCCACTAAATCTTGTCCAGATAAAAATATACTGTGGCTATTAAGTCACTTAGCTTTTCCCTGCTGCTAGTTGGGTATTGTAACAATGGTAAGAAAAGTAACTGTAGACCAGATCTATTTTGAATCCATTCTCAGATAAGCAGTTGAAGATTTCTCTGAATGAGAAATGCAGATAGAGACCCTTCATATGAAAAAAATTTCTCATAAACCTTCAGGATAAATCTTTGAATGCTCTTCTCAAAAATAAGCCAACTGTCTCTAGGCCCCTTAAATGCACTGCCTTCAGAAAGGTTTTCAAAAATTCAGTCACATTTTTGTAATAAATAAAAGCTGGTAAAGAGAAAATGTTCACATTGATAATAATAAACTATTTTATTAAAGTCGTGAGAAGTCACTGACAAAGCATTTTAACACATTATTTTTTTGTCATGTTATGTGTGACAATTTGTAAAATTTGTGCTTTTGATGTACCAAATCCTTTCAGAAAGACTGAAGGAGAAAACAAAACAAAAAAAAAGTTGCCTTTTCTTAGCATTTAAAATAAATAGAGCTTTGCAAGCTGTCTGTAAAATGAAACCTATTTTAAATTACCCACAACCCTTATTCTGGGGTAGTAAAGCTGTTGTTACTTGGCAGGATACCCTTAGTTGTGGTATTACCAGGAGTTCAGTTAATGAGATCTAGGTGAAAAAAGGTGATTTTCCTCTATACATTCCTGAGAATATTAAGGAAGATAAATGAAGGTCTTCTCATAGCCATGGGAAAAAAGGGGACTCAAAGCCAGTGGTGCTGCAATGATGTTAACTTGCATGTATTTGCTCATGAGCTTGTGACCAAACCATGTATTAAATCACATAAACAGAATAATTTTCACATTGCTGTGGTAGTTTTTCTCTTGTTTTGTGCTGAATGAGATCACTTCTTATTATGAAGATGTTAATTGACCACATTGCCCTTAATGTTAAGATGTCTGAGAAGGGCATTTCTTGCTATTGTTTTAATGAAGATGACTTCACTGTAAATTGGATGGAAACCATATCATGCTGCTGTAAAAGACATTTAAGACTACAGCTGTAACTAGGAATGTGTACCAAAACAATTGACTTGACTCTCTTCTACTTAATTTCTTACTTAGAGTAGTAATGTAAATAACCAAAATAAAGCTATCAACAATAGCAATATAACAGTCATGGATTTAATACAGTGGTAAATTAAAGTGTCTTTTCATGCTGTTTTTTGAAGATTATTATTTTGGAGTTATGTGCATTGTCACAATGCTATTCATTACCCATAATCTGGAAATGTCATTGTGTAAATAATGTATTTCCCTAGTATTAGTAGTTTTATATAATTCAGATAAACTTTTTGTTTTCAGATATGTGCAGTTCTTAAGTGGCCTTCTATCTGGATCTGTGAAAATGAACACAACCCCTCTTTTCCTGCACTATGTTATTCTTCATGGCATCCCCAACTTAGATGCTGGGGGAGGTAAATTACCTAATTTTTCCTATTCAGGTGTACAATCAAATTCTTGTTTCATATTGGAACTTTCTAGAAAGACTGCATGAATCTCAAATTAGAATTAATATCTTCTTGATATGCATCCACATATTCCCAATAAAGTAGCCAGAAGATAAGCATTCCGAGAGTAAAAATTGGAGCAGATGAAATCAATTTCTTGTTCTTTGTTAAACGAATAGTTGGTACTATTTGTGTCTGCTTATCTCTGAACAGTTGTGGTCCCTGTTACTGCAAGAGATCTGGGAAGCTGGTCAGCTTTCACAGTAATTTCCTCTTTGTTTTGGGAAATGATTATAATCTGTTTTCTGTTTTGAGATTTGATTTTGTGTGGATAAGCTGTTTGGATAGGGTGTACTTACAGAATTACACAGAATCATTTAGTTTGAAAAAAGACCTCCAAGATCATCAAGTCCAGCCTTTGACCCATCATCACTTTGTCAACTAGATCATGGCACTAAGTGCCATACAGGGATGGTGACTCCACCACCTCCCTGCGCATTCCGTTACAAAGTTTGACAGCCGTTTCAGTGAGAAAATTCTTCCTGCTGTCTGAAAGGAACCTTCTCTGTGCAGCTTGAGGCTGTGTCCTCTTACTGTGTAGTTCATTGCCCAGGAGAAAATCCTGACTCCCACCTTGCTACAACCTCCTTTCAGGCAGTTATATGGAGTGATAAGGTCTCTCTGAACCTCCTTTTCTCTAGGTTAAACAGCCCAACTCTCTCAGCCTCTCCTCACAGGGTATGTGTGGAGACTCTTCACCAGCTCCCTTGACTTTTCTAAGCACACTACTGCACTTCAGTGTCTTTCTTGAAGTGAGTGGTCCAGAACTCAACACAATAGTTGAGGTGTGGCCTCACCACTGCTACTAACATTGCTTGCTATCCTAAGTGGATTTAAAATTAAAATGATAGAATGAGATAATGTGCTAGAGCACAGTGAAGGAATACAACTTTAACGGTTGCACTTGATGAACTTAGAGGTCTTATGATTTGTGTTTCTGTATTTCTATTATCAGAAGGTAAAATAGCACTTGTCTTTTGTAATATAATCAGCATGAACTTGTGATGACTATATTGCCATTGCTGTTTACTTGGATTTTATTTCTAAAATAACTGCTTTAATAAAGCCAAGGTATTGCTTGTTCTAGGTAGAAATTTAAGGGCCTTAAATACTGATTTTGAAACAAATCTGAAGATCAAATAATTTGTTTTTTTTGGAAAATGTTTTTATTTTATATTGGGGGTTTGCTTTCTTTTGGCCATTAACATTCTTCCTTTATTAATTCTGTTTTCATGCAGAATTTGTTTCTTTCCTTACTAGAATCCTTTAAAGTCCCTTCCTATTGAATTCAGAACTAGTATAAAATAATAAAATAAAATAAAATAAAATAAAATAAAATAAAATAAAATAAAATAAAATAAAATAAAATAAAATAAAACGTTTTAGCCAATTTTGCTTTGAAGGGTGTTTTGACAGTCCAGTATTGCCACTTATGTGCCATTTTGCTCACTCTGGATGTGCATGAAACTTCCTAGGTGTAATTGCTTCCTGTATATGAATGTTACAAAACATTTTTTGTTTGCTTCTTTTCAGCTTGTTGGCCTTTTCTGAAGTTATACCAGGCTATGCAACCAGTTTATACATCTGGAATATAGTAAGTTGTAAGCATTTTCCACTATGTTTGAATTTAGGTTTTAATTTCCATGATTGCAGAATTACGTAGCCTTTTAAAATTTTGTTTATGAGTTTTTTGTTTGTTTTGTGTTTTTATGTCTTTAAATCATGTGGTTTTTTTTTTCTTCTGTCAAGTAGCATAGGGTCAGAAAATCAAAGTCGAATCTGCATTTCTATAGACCCTGCCCAGCTTTTGAAAGGAGATATTATGGTGAGTTAATTGTTTGGAATGAAAATCTATTGATAGGACAGTTTACAATTTCTGACCTATTTTGTGGTGTAAAAAAAAATTATTTGGTTAAATGCCTGGAGATAACAGAATAATTTAGATTAATTTAGTCATACATCTTTGGCTTTTATGGGAATAAAAACTCTTGTAAAACTTAAACAAGAAGGTTTTTAGGAGCAAATTGTTTTCAAAACAATTGCTTTTAGAATTCTCATTTTATAGCATCACCAAGTCCAGTAAGGCCTGTATTGCTCTTTTCTTTATAAAGATTGCTTTGGGGAGTATTTGTAATTTGGCATTAAAATATCTTGCCCTATAATTTGGCAGGCAGTATGCACAACTGTAAAACTATCTGCTATAATGAAAATACCTAGGTAATTCTAAATTGTTCTGGCACTCAAAAAAGTGCGATACCAACTAAGGGATAGATAATGTCCAAGGTCTGGCCAGCATAGGGTTACATTTTGCAGTAGCCAGACAGAGCATGATTTGGACCCAAAGGTTATTTTGTATGACCTCATGTTATTTTTCAGGGACAGGGGAAGGGCTTCCTTCCTGGTCAGGTAGCATGATGGAGGGAGTGTTTGGGTATTGCTGGGGTTTCTGGGAGGTAGGGGGAAGGAAGAATGGGAGATATCTGTGAGCAATCATGTGTGAATTGTCTAAGTTTGTTTACTTGTACTCTCTATCATTTGTATTGTTGCTGTTAGTGTTAGTGCATCCAATACTCCTCTCCAGCCTGCTGTGGGGGAGAGGAGGAGGGGTAGTGCTTGAGCAGTGTGTGTGGTTTGGAGTGTTTCAGTGGGAACACTGAATTGGAAAACACCATTCCTGAACCACAATAGTCTTATTTGGCACCCAGTGTTGGACACGAAAGGTTAGTATAGCAACAGGTCTGCCCAGAGTGGGTTTGAAACAAATTTTCATCTAAGCATTTTGTTACATTAGGTCCAGAGCCACTGGTCACGATGTTGCTTGATTTGTCCATGTGGTGTAGTACCTGACTGGGTATATTTCCATACCTCATGGTATTTTTCAGATCAGGGATAGGAATCAGGATTGTTTTTTTGATGTACTATGGGATACAAGCTTACAATGTGGTAACATCAAAGACAATGGGGGTCATTTGGGATGTGTATTGAGTGCTTCTCTCCTGCCCTTACCTACAGCACTATCTTTGGGAGTCCATTAATAATCATCATACCCAGTTTGTGGGGGGAACAAGGGAGAATGATTTTCCCCAGCTTTTCACCTTTTTATCTTTCAGACCTCTTATAACAGTTTTTGAGAATTTTGAATTCCCCTTAGATATTTAGGAAAGCTTGTTCTTGTGGCTACATCTGCCAGCTCTCCTCAGTATGGTCCACATGTTAGACTAACAGGAGGTGTTTAGGAGGGTCTTTCAGAGATCTGCCCTGAGGGTAGGTCATCATGAGTGTCATGGAAGGTAGGAGAAAATGGGCCAGCTTCTGAAGGACTGTCCTGCTCCATTGGTTTTTAAGTTCACCTCTGAACAACTACAAGACTCTGTTGAAGTGATAAAATATGCAAGAGAAATGCTGTGTCAGTTCCAGAGAGGAATGAAGTTTTGCAATGTGCTGGGCCCTGTTGCTGTTTATTGGACATTGCTCATTACTAGACAGCACCCTCAGAGGGAAGGGAGGAAAGCAGATTAACAGGCACTGTGGCCACTCAAACTGCAGCTGAACCAGGGGAACAACATGTGCTGGTAGCAGTTGCCCCTATACAGAAGAAGAAATCCAAGACTGAATCAATTGAGGAAGAGGAAAAAGCAGGGCTAGAGATAATCATCTGATCTCTGTCCCTGGGTGAGCTATGAAGTGTGAGTAAAGATTGCAGCCATCAGCTGGGTAGCGCCTGGTGATGCGGCTTGTCCAATACTGGGATATTGTGGCCCATGATAAGAAACCAGATGGTGGTGAAGCCAAGCTGGGATCCCTGTTCTGGAATGTGTACTTTGGGATTGGGAAAAGGACAGTGCCTCAGCTTCAGAAGGTGACTTCTGTCAAGTATAAGGAGAGTCTTGTATTTTAACAAGGGTGATATATTAGTGCACTGAGAGAAGTGGAACAACATGGAGAAAGGTATCCAGTACTTGAGAGAATTAGCTGTGCTGGAGGTACTTTATGAGCAATTCCCTATAAATCCGGATGAAGTCTGGTGTACACAAACACTGCATGTGGTGGAAGTTCCTAGGAAGTCACCTGTGTATGAACTCATTGACAGTGATGTCATGGAAAGAAGGTGAACAAAGAGTGAATAATTTGGTTGTCAAACTCCGGCTGTATGAAGAAAGTATCTCTTCCTCCCTATTGGTCTGCATCTTGTCCATGGAAGGTCTGTCCCAGGACCTCCTGCAATTTAAAGAGGACTACCAGCAATTTGAAAAAGTGTCCCATGCCCTGCCAGTACAGACCAGGCTCTGCTATTAGCAACAAGTGTTGTCCTGCTCAAGAGAGAGGGTACACACCACAAAGTAACCTGTGGTTTTACCTGCATAACCCTGGGGAGGATATATGGAAGTGGGATGGAAAACCCACCTCTGTCCAAGCAGAACTGGTGTATGAGTTGAGAGGAAGCACAACTACTGCAGGAAATTCTTCAAGGATATATCCTGCTCCAGTTTCAGAGAGAATAGGAGGACTGATGCTACTTCCTATGCTCTTGAAACTACCTCCATACTTAGAAGAAATGAGCAACAAGTACTGTTACCAGGGGGAGCCCTCCCTTCAACCAGGTATGGGAAAGGGACAGACCCACATGAGTATAAGGTTTTAGTGACACCAGCATTCGATGTACCCTGATGCTTTCAAGGTATGTAGGGGAAGAATCTTTTGCTGTTTCCAGGGTGACAGCTGCCTGTAATGGAAGTTGTAGTGAGCCTGACTGGGAATGAATGGCAAAAACACCCAGCTGTGACTGGTCAGAGACCCTGTGCTTCATTGGCATAGATTACCTTAATAGAGGGCATTTTGAGGACCCAAAAGGGCATCACTTGGCTTTTGGCATAGCTGTTACAGAGACAGAGGAAATTGGACATCTGAATACCTTGCCTGGTCTCTCAGTGGACCCTTCTGCTGTGGGACTTCTTAGAGTTGAAAAACATAGGTACCGATCACTACCACAACAATGTACCCTTTACAGTAGTGCAAGAAACTGTGACACCATGATTCTCCATGATTGAAATTATTCACCCTCCAGAGAGCTGGGGAGTGGTCAGCAAGACTTGCTCATCCTTTATTAGTCCTGTATGGCCAGTGCATAAGTCCATTGGAGAGTGGAGACTACTTCTGAGTGCTGCTGTACTGGGCATGCTGGAATTTCACTATGAACTTGAGTGCAAGGCAGCAAAGTGGTGTCACTTTTCATAATGCTAATGCATTTTTATCCATTTCTTTATCAGAAAAGTGCAGGTGACAGTTAGTGTCCAGTACACCTGAAACGGACTGCTCCAGGACTTGAAATAGCTCTACTCTTTGCCATCAGTTTTGTACTGATCCAGACTGAACTGCAAAAGGGCAAGGCTCCAGAATACTTGCAACACATTGACAACATCATTCTGTGGGATTACACAGCAGAGGAAGTTTTTGAGAAAAGCGAGAAAATAATCCAGGTCCTCCTGAAGGTCAGATGTGCTATAGAGCAGAGTAAGGTCAATGAACCTGCCCAGGAAATTCAGATTTTAGGAGTAAAATGGCAAGATGAATGTTGTCAGGTTCAGATGGACGTAGGCAAAAAAACAGCAGCTATGTCCCTGCCAGCAAGAAGGAAACACAGGCTTTCCTAGCTGTTAAAGGTTTTTGGAGGATGTATTTTCCAGATTTCAGTTAGATTGTAAGACGTCTCTATCAAGTGACCTGGAAGAATAATGATTTTAAGTGTGGTCCTGAACAACAACAAGCTTTTGAACAAGTCAAACAAAAGATTGCTCATGCAGAAGCTCTTGGGCCAGTCAGGACAGGATAAGATGTGAAAACTGTACTCTATACCGCAGCTGGGGAGAATGGTCTTTCCTGGAGTGTCTGGCAAAAGGTACCCAGGAAGACCTGAGGACAAGCCCTAGTGTTCCATACTCAGGAATCTAAGGCCTGCTACACCCCTTATGAAAAAGAGATCCTGACAGCTTATGAAGGTATAGTATAATATATATTATTCTGGCAGTTCATGAAGGTTTGAGCTGCTTCAGAAGTGACTGACATCAAAGCACAGCTCCTCCTGGCACCTCAACTGCCAACGCTGTGTTGCATGTTCAAAGGATATTTCACACTTGCTACTGACACTTCATGGAGTGAGTCATGCTGATCACACAGCTAGCTTGAATAGGAAATCTCAATTGCTGAAGGATCTTGGAAGTCAACACAAACTGGCTGGAAGGCAAAAATTTTATACTAACATCAGAGAAGCAGGAGGAGAAGGTGACATGCTGAGGAGGCTTCACTATATATATGATCAGCACCAGAAAATGAAAAACAATATGCTCTTTTTACCAACAGTTCCTGCTGTATTATAGGGATACATTGAAAACAGAAAGCTATGGAGTCCTATGTGACAAGTTGCAGAAGCTATTGAGGGACAAAGTGGATCAAATCCGGTCACAGAGCTGAAGGGCATCCAGTTGGCTTTAGGTATGACTGAATGAGAGAAATGGCCAGCACTCTACCTGTACAGTGATTCATGGATGGTGGCAAGTGCACTGTGGCGGTGTCTGTACCAGTGGAAAAAGGTTAATTGGTATCATAGAAGTAAACTTATCTGGGCTGTTGAATTATATCAAGACATTGCTACCTGGACAGTTGGCTGCAAAAGTAGCTCATGTAGATGCACACAAGCTGAAGAGTCAAGCTACTGAAGAATGTTGCAACAACAAGGTGGATCAAGCTGCCAAGATTGGTGGATCTAGACTGGCAACATAAGGGGGAATTATTTCTGGCTTGGTGGGCCCATGACACCTCAGATTGTGA